GTCAGTCAAAACCTACATCCAGGTGTGCATACAGAGATGGTCAGTAGTAAGACAGTCCAGAGCTAGTGGATTCCCACCAACAGTTCAGGAGGGAACACTCCCCTTTCTCCCATCCTTGACAACATGACACTTGTTTGTGGATTTATTGATGATAGCCATTCTGACAGGTGTAAGGTGATATCTCATTGTGATTTTAATTTGCATTTCACTGATGAGCATCTTTTCATATGTCTATTGGCCACCTGTATGTCCTCTTTGGAGAAATATCTGTTCAGATCTTTTGCCCATTTTTTTAATTGGACTCTTTGGTTTTTTAATTTTTGGTGTTGAGTTTTATAAATTCTTTATAAAATTTGGACATTAACCCCTGTGAAAAGCATTATGTAGTTACCTCAAAATATTAAAAATGGAACTCCCTTATGATCCAGCAATTCCACTTCTGGGAATATATCCAAAGAAACTCAAAACACTGATTCAAAAGAATATATGCATCCCTATGTTCATTGCTGCATTATTTACAATCGCCAAGATTTGGAAGCAGCCCAAATGCCCATCAGGACATGAGTGGGTAAAAAGGCAGTGGTACGTTTACACAAGGGAATGCTACTGGGCTGTAAAAAAGAAGGAAATCTTACCCTTTGTGACTGCGTAGATGGACCCGGAGAGTACTAAGCTAAGTGAAATAAGCCAGTCAGAGAAAGATGAGGACCATATGACTTCAGTTATATGTGGAATCTAATGAGCAAAACAAACTAACAAACAAAATAGAGAAAGACTCATAGAGACCAGACTGATAGCTATTGAGGGGAGGAGGTTGGCGGGCTGGGTGAAAAAGGTGAAGGGATTAAGCAAAGGAAAAAACCTCATAAAGACAACAGTATGATGGTTACCAGAGGGAAAGGATAGTGCAGCACATAGAGAAGGGTACAGGGGGCATAAATGGTGCTGGAAGGAAACTTGACTTCAGTTGATGAACACACAATACAACATGCATGGTGTGTTACACATTTGTACATTTGAAACTTCTGTAACTTTATTAACCAGGCCCACCCCAATAAATTCAATAAAAAAAGAGTAAGAGGATTTATTCAGATTGTCATCAAAAGTAATTTTTGTAGCTACAGAGCTGCAGTCTATTCTGAATGCAAAATGATAAGAGAATTCTATTGAATATGTTTGAGGTATTTATATTTATCTAAGTATTTTTTATTAGAGAATCTCAAAATGAGGAGAAAGGTAAGTGTCATATAATTTGGATATTTCTTATGTAATAGAGAATCATTCATTGATGTTCTTATTTTGGAATCTTTTATTAGATTTCTTTTCATTGTTTCATGTAGTAACATACATCACCTTATTTTTCATGGCTTCAAAATTTATTTCTGAAGCACCCTATTTCCTAAAATATATTCTATTTAGGCAAACCTTCTGTAATCACTTCTAAATCAAACTGCTGACATATAGGGTCTATTTTTTTATATTAAATGATTAAGTTTGCTTTTTAAAATCAAAAGTTAAAATAATTATAATAGTGTGTATCACACAATCAAAGAGAATCTCTTCCAATGGTTTTATTCCACAATGGAGTCACTCATTTTCTGTTTTATTTTTTAAGGAAAGTGAACTAATTTTTAAACCTCCCACTTTTTTCTCTAACAGTAATTTTCAGAATGTTTTGTTTTTGATTTTTTTATTAAAATGAGAGCAACAACTAAATGTTTTCCTTTCACAATGGGGATGCTACTGTGGACAGATGCTACACAGTTTTATAGAAAATGATTTTTTTTTCAGAATCACTCCTGGAGATAAATACAGTTATTGATCTATTGATATCATTTAGTTTTAATGGAACAGCTCAAGAGAATGAATGTGCTAGACTGTATCAGTTACAAAGAAGTAAATATGTTTCATATGATATTTAAATACTGAATTCTATCCCTCCCTTTGCTAGTTATAATGCACAGAATTTCTTAGTCTATATTTATATACAGTTGTTTTTGCTGTAACAACTGAGCATGTAAAGTTAAATTTTCTATATTGTATGTTTTCACCTGAAGTGACTATAGTCTTAATACTTTTTATACTCAGAGAATTGGTCATTGGGAGTAAAAAGGAGAAAACTGTATTTGAACAATGATTAAAATAAAAAAAAAGAATTGGTCAGTGGAAACATGAGTTTAAGAAACATTTAACTTTAAATATAAAGAACTTGTAGGTTTGTGTATAACTCATAAAATCTACTTGTCATGGGGAAGAAAGGAAAAGTTCTATAACCACTGGCCAAATCAGTTAGAAAGAAGAAAATTTATGCAAGAAGAAGATGATGCAGAGTGATTATAAGTTTTAAGGCAATTCTCTCAATCTTTTTATTTTAGGTTTTAAAATGATTTGCCCTGGCTGGTGTGGCTCAGTAGATATAGTGCCGGCCTGTGAACTACAGGGTCACCAGTTTGATTCCCATTCAGGGCACACACCTGGGTTGCTAGCCAGGTACCCAGTAGAGGGTGTGTAAGAGGCAACCCCACACTGATGTTTCTCTTCTGCTCTTTCTCCCGCCCTTCCCCTCTCTCTAAAAACAAATAAATAAAATATTTATTAAAACTTTTTCTTAAAAAATAAATAAATAAAGTGACTTCTAAGACAGCAACAATGTGCATGTTCATATTTTACTTTTAACTTAGATTTTATTTTGTCATAGAATGCAATTAGGGAAGCTTATTCAATGTACAGACATTCATTTATCATCAAATTTATAGAAACCACTTTTCACTGTGAAGCAGGGATGCAAACACCATTTTCTGACCTGTAACTAAGAATTATTTTTGTTACTTTTTGGGTGTCAAGATATGCAATTATGTCTTATTTTTAATATAGTTAATATTTAAATTTTTAGTGAATTTCTAATTTATTGATTATTCTCCACCTGTTACATTAATCATGAAATATTGATGTAGTCATCATGGGAATACCTTGACTAGATTAAGTCACAGGAACCTCTGAGCTTCAGCTCTCCAGCTGTTGTCAAGGTAGCCTGGTGCCTGCCGTCCTTCCCTCCTCCAATCTCCCCATTTCTGAAGACATTTGAGCTTTCAATACCTACTCACAAAATCCTGGTCCTGGCAAAAAAGTAAAGACACTCCACAGCACACTTCAGTGCTGGTGTTCAGCACCTCACAAAACACCATCGGTGTCTCAGCACAAATGCCTTCTGTTTTCTGACCAGTGTCCTACACTCTAATGTGTTAGTATCTTCCCTAAGAAAATTCCCAGCAGTGACTTCTTTATGATCCTGGAGACCTATGAGCTCCCAATCTCCCCTCCCAAATAGCTGGATCTGTGAGAAAAAATGGATTTTCTTCCTATGTACACATTATCCTTCACTCATTCTTAATTCATAAGCCACACCCTTATGAGCAGGCTCAGATGCCACATAGAGAATTAAAGCCTATCTGGTGCAGGTCATTTGAGAAGGTGATTTGGCTCACTGATTAGACACTAAAGCATAGGGATGCTTCTATGTATTCTAGAGAGAAGGTATGAGCTCCCAGTCGATGGTCAGGAATGGGTAGGATGAGCTTCCGCTTCTACATAACTGATGTTATGAAGACACCAGACTTGGAGAAGACTTTGGGTACATGGAAAAAAGGAACCCATGGTGGTCCAGTCTTGTGTGATTTATAAAAGCTTTGGCATTTTTTTTATAAGTACAGCATATTTTACATTAAATATAATCCTAGATATTGTTCTTTTTTCAAATATCTGGTTTCCTTATTAAAATGTTTTGTCAGTAATTTTGATTTATGTATGTTATTCACCATTAATTATTTTCAGTGAGGTACTGAATTCTAAATATTTCTAAGTGCTTTTTAAATCTTACCTAGTATAACAGTGGTTAAGGTGCAGATCGGGAAACATTGTAGTCTGTTTGACTGAATGAGTTCATTAAAGAAGTGTGTATAGACAGAGAAGACACAGACTCATAGACTGAGCCCTGGAATACCAGGATGGAATCAGAGAATGAGACAGAGAAGGAGTGGCCAGTGAGATAGGAGGCAAGTATCCAGTGAGAGAGTGATGTCCTGGAGGACAGGTGAGGCAGCACTCCACAGAAGTAGAGGAATGACTTTCACATATTTCAAGGAGGTCAAGGAAAATGAACACTGAGAATTGAACATTGAATTTAGAATTGTACATATCACTAGTGACTTCCACAGAAGCAATTTTGGTGATACCATGGGGGCAAAAATTGTATTAGAGTGGTTTCAATATTGGGGAGGAGCAGAACTTGAGATAATAAGAAAAGACAACTCTTGAGGTTTTTTTGTTGTAAGAGAAAACAAAAAATTAGGAGAGTAGCCTAGTGGGAAGTAAGGTTTTTATTTTGATTAGATTTGGGTTATATTAGTTTAAAAATATTTTAAGATAATTTTTAAGGTCAAAAGATTAAAACTTTAAGATTGAAAAATAACATATTTGCTTCCTAATAGGAATAGAGAAAAATAACAGTTGGAGGAATGTAAGAAAATTTTCAGATAAAGGACATAGTTTCTGCAATAGTATGCTTAGACTGGTTATTCTTTCTAAAAGAAACCCATGTTCCCTTGAGCATGTTCTCTTGCAACAGAAATAAGGAGGCAAGAAATGTTTCTCTTCTGGGGTCTCACATTCAATCCATCTTTCATCTTCACTTAGTGACTAAAGGCCAACTATTTTCTTTCAACAACATTTTTTAAATCCTCCAATATATTTTAGACTCCATATTTTTAAGCTAATGTTGTTATCATACTTGCTGTTATTTTTAGCATACTTTAAACTGAATAATCAGACCATTTGAAGTCACCAATATCAAGTGAAACTCCTTACTTTGGCTTCTCAGGCAATACTGTAATGCTTTATCTCAATAGGCTAATTGGTGTTGAATATCCTTGAGTTAATATTTCTTAGAGTGGATCTACATGGCCATATTATCTTGTGAATTATTCTCTTTTTCTCCACAATAGCTTTGTGTCAACATGACCAATGAGAAGATGCACCACTATATCAATGAAGTGCTTTTTCTACAGGAGCAAACAGAATGTTTACAAGAGGGAGTTACCATGGAAACAGCTTATTCTCCTAGTAACCAGACTGGAGTTTTGGATTTTTTTTTCCAGGTATTCATATAATGTAATTAGTGACTTTACAGAATGCATGCATTTAAATATGCTGGAGACATAATTTTCTTTCAAGGGGTTTTATTTTTGAGATATCTTTCTAAGTGAGACTCTGCTATATATTTATAGTCTTTCAAAGAAGAGTACAAGTTACCTTTTCTGAAGGGGCATTTGAAGGATTACCAATCCATTGAAAGGACAGCATATATTAAATCATCTGTTATAAAAGTATTTAGCATTTATTATGTTGCCTACCTCTCCTTTTGGCATAGTTACAAATGCCCAATGACCAAAATCAATATTTAAAAAATAATACCTAAGACTATCATGTTCATAAAATAAATTTAACAGAATATTTTATCTTCAGTTTCTAAATTTAATTATTAAAAAATAGACAGAAAAATATATGTACATACATATAATCTTAGAACATCTGCAGGCATTTATACTTATCTGTTTCTACCTAACAACACAAGAATGTTTGCATCAGTATTTGTATGACATAAACAAAAGTCTATCATATAAACAGAAAGCCCTATGTACTAATATAGGAAGATGTTCCTATAATACTTCTAAAATCATAATACTATAATCATAATACTTCTAAAACAAGTGAACATTGTTTAAAACTGGTAACATTCAGTTAGTTATTGAAGAGCATAGTATTTAACTTTCTACCAATTTATTTCCATAAATAAAAGAGTAGACATAAATTTTGTTCATTTCCCATTGTAAAGCACTCTTGTTTTGCTACAAACGTTAACATTTTTTAAATTACATAAGAAACCCTCTTCCTCCAGAAAGCTCTCCCTCATTATGACACATATAGTACATAATTTATTTATTTGAGATTTTAAAAATATCTTCAAGCTGACAGTAGTAGATATGTGGAAAGCTTCAGGTGCCAGCACCCTCATTCTTGTTTGTTGCTGTGTCCTTGACTGCTATCCACTGGTCAGCACAATGTTTCTTCTCTCTCTTTGGCTTTCAACACTGAGGTTTCATCTTTGGAATCACCATGTCACTAGTAGGGCCCTGACCAATATGAGTTGAAAATAAGAGTGGACGTTTCTGGCTGCTACTTCTCTTTGATACCCATGAAAATGGAATGAAAAGGCACTCCAAGTTAGGGTGAAATGTATAGGTCTGTATACCAGGCAAGCATATACCCTACAATACAAAACAAGCTTATTGTTTCCTTTCCAGCACTTCCTAATCCTCCAATACTGACAAACATTGTAATTTTTGCATAAGCCTCATTTATATTTCAACGAACACATATTTGTCTTATTTCCCTGAGGGGAGGGGCCTATCCCTATTCTTACCAAATTTTCTGAGTGTCTAGTACAGTTCGTCACACTCTCAGTGTTGCTGCTTTTTGTTGTTAGGGTGAAATTGCATATGATAACCTTTCACTTACAGGAGAACAATTCAGTCTCCTCTGAGACTTCTAAAGGAATTGAAAGGCCATTAATCCCTTTTTATGACTTATTTCTCCATGTTCTACTTTCTTCAGAAGCTTCAGCGAATTTTTCAAGTCAGTAAGTTTGATTATCACCATTCTTTCATGGCTTTATATCAAATGTTCAGAAAAATACAACACATACAAACTTTAACATGCTTGGAGACAATACAAATTATAATACTTTAAAAATATATTCCATTGGTAACCAACTACCTCATCCTTGCAAAATATCATCTTGCTTTTGGAGTAGAGTGGCTTAGCACTTTTTGCATCAATTGCTTCCCTAAAACTAACTGGGGCCTTGTCTTTGATTCACCTAAACATCCATTTAAGGCTTTATCAAATGAACAGAAATCCTCACCTCCGAAGTAGAGGTCTGTCACTGACCCTGAAATGTGGACACATTTTTACACAACCTTTAAATAGCCCATTTATTCCTTCACTGCATATCTGCATGTGCTTGTGAGTATGTTTGCCTGCTCAAATCAGCAGATGAAGGAATGGCTTCTGGTATTATAATATCACCTTTTACTTACCTTTCAGCAAGGAAGTTGCTATTAGTTGAAATAAAGAATTTTTAATTTTTAAAACATCCCAGACAGGACCAGTCATCAACAAACTTTTTATATCCACTGTTTTCTTTTAATGCCTCTCCCATCCTTTTGTATATGTAAGTATACTTACATATACTTAAAACTTTTTTTTTTTACCTCTGGGCTCTTCGTGGGAACTCTTTATGGGGTCCCTGGCCATGGCCACACTGAGATTCTTGTGATGTATCATGCAGAAAGGCCAGCTAGGATAACATTCCTTGTAATGAACTTTCTCCTTTAAATTTCCTTGTTGAAAGGCATTTCTGTGTTGGTAAGAAATGGCTCTCCAGGTGTGCTAGATAATTTGCCAAGGTGGGTGAAATTGCTTTTTTGCAGGCATTTCTAATTCCTTCATAGTGCCATTTCCACCTCATTAGTTCTTCCTCTCTTTCCTTCCTGGGAAGGCTATTGGATGCTGATTCTAGAGCTGGCCCTCCTAGCTGCCAAATAGCTCCAAAAGGGCACTTCTGGTGTATGTGCCTCCACCAGGTGGAGGTCCTTCCCATGTCTGGCACTTTCACCCTTTGTTCTCAATAGGTGGCACTAGAATGACTTCAACTCCACAGCCTTCAGACAACTATATACAGTTTTGGATTTTCTTTAGTATAAGCAGGAGACTCTGAAAGGCATAAAACAACTAAAATATTTATGACACATAGAAATGACTTTCTATTGTCCAAATAAATGACATCATGAAAGGCTGGTGGCAGTATGGTTTGATTACCTCAAGTCAAAATACAAACTGAAATTGCTATGGGGGTCAATATAGATCTCCTCCCTTTCTGAGAGGAATTATTTTTATGGTATTCACACTTCAAAAAGCACCCTGAGTCTATGAGGAGAATTAAGATACAATATGTGACAGAATAATGTAAATAAGTAATATAAAGTACCTTAATTTAAAATTTGTCAATGGCAAATTTTCTCAGGAAAGAAAAGATAAGCAGCATAGCACTGAGTAAAAGTTATTCAACTGATGGATAAAAACCACTTGGGCGGAATGGTGGTTTGCGTCTGGGAGAATGCAGTGTCAGAGGCTGGGAAGTTTTTAACGCAGCATTTTCCTTCATGTAAGATTAATTTTGTATTGTTGCCTACTGTGTGATTTTATTTTTCTTATTTGGCATCAATAAACTATGAGACCTCTAATTTGAATTTTGTAAGTTACAGCTTCAAACTTTCTTTTCTTCTACGTCTAGGTATTGGAATATCATAGAGTCACTTCTACTTCCTGATAAGTGGGATTTTGTCATAATTTTTATGACTTAACATCATTGTACATTTTGGTCTTTGATAAGTAACTTGTCCACTATAAGCATGAAGTGTTTGATATAGGTTATAAGTCAAGAATAATTACAACTTTCCTGTAGTTAGAAATTTTATTTTCTTTTTGAGATGAGACTATACTTTTTAGTAACTCCAATGTTTTACTGATGTGAAAATATACTCTTTCCATCTTTATTCATTCCTCTAATCAGTAAATACTATTGAGGGCCTATGTTACATCAGAGTTTTGACTCCAACAGTAAGCTAGAATAGATGTGTAGTAAAAGCAAAGCATTAATTTACTGAGTGCCTTATATGAAATAACAAAATTATAAATAAGCATTCATGAATTACAAAAATACCAAACTGAGTAACAGAAGAAAAAAATTCTTAACTTTCAGAAACCATCTGGATTTCTCTGTTTATTGGATGAAGAAAGTCAAATGATTTGGTCAATGGAAACAAATCTTCCCAAAAAGCTACAAAGCCTCCTGGAATCCTCAAATACAAATGCAGTATACTCCCCCATGAAGGATGGAAATGGGAATGTCGCCCTCAAAGATCAAGGCACAGCATTCACTATTATGCACTATGCAGGGCGGGTAAGTTCAAGGTTAGCTATGTAATTTACCATGTGCACCTAATGGAACAAATGTCTTAGGACAAACTTTAAAGTGCTTGATATTTTAGAGTTTATTATTTTGAAAAAATGAAAGTTGGGTGAAAATCCACAAAATTTTCCTCTTCCAAGCTATTTCTTTTAGGCTGATAAAGACATAGCATCTTTAGAATGTGGGTGATGAAGCATGTAATATGATTCTTCTCATAATGTTTTGAGAATTATAACTTAATATGAGTAAGAGACCTGGATTTAATACAAAGAGCTCTGCTGTGAACTTTGGGATATTTTTATAATCCAAACAAACATTGGACATCTGAGTTTGTTTACTCTTAAAAGAGTTTTTAGTATTATTTTTCTTAAAGAATGTCAACCTAAGAAAGTGACTCTCAGATCTCTCAATTCCCTAGCCAGCTTTGTAAAATGTGCTTCTCTCTTTAAAACCTTCAAGGAATCACTCTTACCTATCTAAAAAAAAAAAAAATCCACACTCCTTAGGCAAGAGTCCTATCAGACTTCTCCAAGCTTATCCCTATCTTTTTTCATGACTCATCTGTTACAACTGCCCTATACAAAACCTCTGTTTATGTTTTTAATCCACCTGCTGTTTTTCTGCATCCCCACCACTTCCACTTAAACTCCCTCACACTCAAACTTGAAACAGTCTTCTTTTCTTCCTCATAATGTCAAATTGTATCCATATTTTAATACTTAAAACCATGTCTCACTTATCTTCAGTCCAGCTCCCATCTATAGTTAATGTCTTCTACTTTTAAATTTGCAGCCCTCAGATATTTTCCCCCGTTTGGCACTTGTACAAATGATATTTTAGAGGGTGAAGTCTCTACTCACTCTCTCATACTCAAGTGTATTACAGTTCATTTCAACCAGGGTTAATTGAATCTCTACTATACACTGAACCCAGAGCATCAGAGAATCAAAGCTAAGTAAAACTTATGGCTTGCCTACAAATATCTCATGGTCAAACAAGGAAAAAATAAGTTATCAAATAATTATGATATAATTTATTTATAAGAGTAATATTAACAAAGTTCTATAGTACCACAGAGAAGGAAGCAATTATTTGGATTCAAAAAATGTATAGAAATATTTTCTAGAGGAGATGAAATGTAACTGAGGCCTTCAGGGATAAGTTAGAACTTACTAAGAATTAAAGGGACATTCCAGTAAAGACATGGACTTTTACAAGGGAATGACATGTGTAACTCTCAGGATTCAGTTGTATAGTACAGACTCCATTCTTGCTGTTCAAGCAGGATATAACTTTAGTATAATAAAATAATTACTAGGAGATTCTCAGTTGATCTTTCAGAAATGACCTTAATTAAAACCACACCACTTGACAAGGCTACCAACATAATTATGACCTCTACCTTGATGAGGGAGCTTCCAGCCCCATGGAGAAGCTGCTGTTACAGGTACTGACCCTTTTTTAGTGCTGCCAACTACACCAGGAAAATACTCATGCTCTGACCTCCACATGGAGGAGGTCAGTGGCTGGGCCTGGAGATCTCCACTGCCAGAGAAAAACAAAGCTTCATGGCAAACTTACTGTGTGCACCTCCATCTCTTCCATCTTCTAAATCATGTGCCATAGTGCAGGACTGGTGAAGCCACAGAACAGATTCTAGCTGCAAATGAGTCTGGGAAGGTTAACTTCCCTGCTTTTTTTTAAAAAAGATTTTATTCATTTGTTTTTAAAGAGAAGGGAAGGGAGGGAGAAAGAAAGGGAGAGCAACACTGATGTGCCACAGAAACATCAATTGGCTGCCTCTCAGAGGCCCCCAACTGGGGGTCCTGGTCTGCAACCCCTGACCACAGATCAAACCAGCAACCTTTCGATTGGCGAGATAATGGCCAATCCTGCTTCTGGGCAACTTTCTTAGTCAGGGCAACTTTCCTGCTTTTTGATATCTGCAGTACAGGAAAGTGACTAGGATAAAGGCTGTGTACCATTCTGCTATATCCACCCACATTGTAGTTGGGAAATGGAACAAGAAATTTAGTTGTATACCAAGCATGGTAAGAGAAAAATCTAAAAATACTATTTTGGCCAAGTCAGGAATAAATATGTATTATGAGGGGGGACCCAAAAATGGAATTAATTTATAAAAAATTGTGTATTTATTCTTACATATTTAGATTTTAGTCACTTTCTCCATTTGATGCAATATACCTATTGAGAAGTTTTTTCCACTGCTCAAAACAGTTTTAGAATTCTATGATTTTGATGTCTTTTAGTGCTTCTGCTGTTTTTTGTTTCACTTCTTCTACATTGGCAACACATTCCCGTTTGACTTTTTTCACGTAGGGAAACAAAAATGTCTCTCAGGGTGAGTGAGATTGGGTGAATAGGGAGGGTGGGGAACAGAGGTAATGTCATTCTTTGGTCAAAACTGCTGAACACTCAGTGTGGTGTGGGCAGGTGCTCTTGTAAATCAATCACCCATCATGAAATGGGCAAATGCATTGAAAGAGTCTTCAAGCAAATTCACTGAAGCTGAACCAGCCTCTCACAACAATGCTAGCTGGTACACTGATACAGATGGGTTCCTAGAACACTTACCTAGTAGGAGAAGCCTTTACTACAAGGTGCCTGCCTTCTAGAAGGTAATTCCAGTTTTGGGAGGTTTCCCCCTTATACCACTCAGAACTTTGTCCTTTTGACAGTGTTAATTCATCAGATGTTTTCAGACAAAGTTGGAGATAAAGTAAGAAAAAAATGATATAAGATGGATTGAGAAAAAAAGGAAAGGGTGCTATGGAAACACTCAGGCAAGAACTGCCTGTGAGCACTGGCCATGTCACTCAAAGGAGGCATTCATAAGTAAAGGACTGGGGACACAGATTGACCAATGTGCAGAGCAAGGGAGATATAGCTTGAAATAGTACTGAAGCTTCTCACCTCCTGGTTGGTTATACTATGCAAACCAAGAGAAGAAATCCTGGAGAATGAGGCAGTTTAACAGGAAAGATATTCAGTTTTAGATGTTTGGATTTGAGGTTTTAATGGAAATCCCAGTAGGATGCTGAAAATACTTGATGCTCGAAATGAAAGAGGTTGGTTGTTTTGAGCAATGCAGCCATATTTTTGGAAATGTGTATCTTGATCATTTTACTCAGAAAGAACATGGAAGGGATAGAGAAAAGAAGATAGTAGGAAAGGGAAGGATTAAAGTAACCTAGAGAAAGGAAGGAGAAGTCAACAGGAAGTGCACCCCGATGCAACAGTTAGGCCAAAGAACACTTTTGTGAGAAGTTACAGTAGAATGGTACCCTGTAATGGCTTGAGTAGTTAATGGATGTGGAGAAGAAGTCAGTGTGAGATTTTATACATAACAGTTAAGAACTTCTTCAGAGTTATTTCTTTTATATATGAGGGGTGTGTGTGTGTGTGTTTTACATGCTCTAGTCTTCAGCTCCTGATGACTCTATGAATGAGTGATGTCCCTCCTGTCCTATCCTCAATAATCATGCTCAGCTCCTGCAGACCCATGCCTATGGCTTCTTTCATAGAATCAATCTATTTTTTACTTGGTCTTTCTCTTTTTCTTCTGCCTTATATTTTTCCCAGCATTATTGTCTCTTCCAAAAAACTCTGCCTCCTCATGATGTGCCTGGAGTAGGACAACTTCAATTTTGTCATTTTTGCATCCAGTGATGTTTTAGGGTTAATTAGCTCTAGGACCCACTTATTCAATTCCCTTTCCAGGGTATCTGCAGAGTTTTCCTCTAACACTAGGAATCATTTTTATTCTTATTGCTTTCTTTACTTACTGTCCGACTTTCAGTTTGTACTTAGTAATTGGGCACACAAGGGTGAGGATGATCTTAGTGTTGCTCTCTGGTGACACATCTTTGTTCTTGGCAGTCTTTCCTAAGACTAACCCTTGTCCCACTTACCCTTATATATTTTTTATAATTACAGCAATCTTTTAGCCCTCTATTCAGATCTTTTAATCTATATTTTATTTATATAAAATATTTATTGAATTTATAGGATTAGTTGAAAAGTTATCATATGGTATAACTAATGATTTTGAAAAAATATTTTTCTGTAAGTTTCATGGTATCTATCTTAAGTCAGTATATGCCTGATCTGCCTTGTAAACCCATTTGTGTTATGTCTTGTAGATGTATTCAATAAAGGCTAATTGTGTTAAATTGAATGGGACCCAGCTTTGGAATAATATTTTATTTAGTTATTTTGTTTGCTTTTACAAATTACTCTAAAAGCACCTAATGAAATTTTAATTTTAATTGTTTTAAGCAAATTTTTGGAAAAAACTAAATAGTTTTAACGAATATATTTGTTTTACTGAATTCTAATAGCAATAAAACATAGTAAAGGAAAACATTTGGTTAGTTGCCATCAAAACCAAAGCTCCATGGAATCATGAATTTTCCTGTAAAAGCACCTTTATATTTTAAGCAGTATTTTTCATCATTGGAGTCAGTTTTGTGGTTTTATAAAAAGTCTTCCCATCCTGGCTGGTGTAGCCCAGTGGATTGAGCATTGCTCTGCAAACCAAAGGGTCACTGGTTCAATTCCCAGTCAGGGCACATGCCTGGGTTGTAGGCCAGATCCCCAGTAGGGGACATGTCAGAGGCAACTACACATTGTTGTTTCTCTCCCTCTTTTTCTCCTTCCCTTCCATTCTCTCTAAAAATAAATAAATAAAATCTTTTAAAAAATATTCTATTTTACACAGATGTACTAATGAGTCTTAGCCCAAGGACTCCCTAAAGACTCATTCATATGTTACAATATAGATTATATGTAATTTGTGACAATATGGCAAGCCATATGCCATTCTAATCATCTGAGGTACCTACATTTACTTACATTTTTAGCTATTTCATTTTCAAAAAAAGCAACACATTCTGCATTATAGATATCAAGAGATGTAGCAAAGAGCTAACTTGTTTAAAATTAGCATGCAGAGTCTGTTTTGGACAGTA